CTCACTAAGAATCTGTGGTTCTCACAAACAATTCATAGTCAGCCAGGAGAGGGCATTATCAGTGTTTTCCTATTCATGAGCTTCTGCCAACTCTCCCTTCTTATGATTAGAGTCCTTTGGGACTCTAGTCTCCTAGCTTGGACACATTTAAAGCATTGTCCCATGAGTAATTTTTACACCACATTGACGCTAGTCCTTGGTTCCTTAGAGAGCCTATCAACAAATCACAACATATGGTAACACTCATATATATACTTACCAAAAGAAATGTGCGGATTGTTCTTATTTTGTTAAGTTCGAGAAGCAATTTCTGTGCCTTCTCATGGTTACTACAATATTCATCATAGATACGAAACTTGTCTTTCTGTGAATTCGAATAAGGATAAGTTAGAGAGAGTCATGGTAGTAGCTATTTGGAAAGATTAACCTGTGTGATGTTTGTGAACATACTTCATGTGTCCAAAGTGTTTACTCTATGTTGGGAGCTCTACTCTATGTATGTATCTAAGCACATTTTATTTATCAATTTTCTCTGATTCAAGAAGTATAATCTAGGAAAAAAAGTTTATATTAACTAGAGTCCAATATGATGTATGCAAGACTAAGTAAATGAGCCAAATGGTAGCAAATTACAAAGAGAGTACTTAGCTTTCCTGAGAGGGTTCAGATATAGCTTAAAAAAAAGTAGTATCTGAGAAGGTTCAGAGAGTTGAATCCATCATTCCCAGGCAGGGTGAGGGAAGAAAGCATTTTAGGAACAGGGAAAAATAGCATGTGCCTGATCATGCAGGAATAGAGAGACCTAGTACCCTGCAGTTCACATACACCAATCTGGACAGCTGTGTTTAGGAGGGACACGGACAAACAAGAGAATAGTCAGCAACAAGTGACTAAGATAATGATGGACTTTGGAGACTCTTCTCTAATATGAGACTCTCTGTGACAAAGTATGAGAAGTCATTTCAAGTAGAATGATTTGTTAGTATAATAAAGTAAGGAAATGGTAGCTACTTTCAGACAGCTGTCACAGTGTAATGGGACTTACAACA